GCTTAAACGAGTTAAATGAGGATTTTATTGGTGCGAAAGCAAAAATCGAACAGATTTTAAAGGATTATAAGGAGGCATTTTCCTTCATATTTTTTTTTCAGTCGGCCTAGTTTTAACAATGAAAGAGGGAAAGAGAGATATTTAAGATATTCATTTTCATTTTTCATTGACATTACTGAAAATTTTTTTTATCAACCATGTTTTGAAAATTTTAAGCAATATATAAATTTAAATTTAAAAAATCCGCGCAAAACAGCCAAATGATCAAACTAAGTATCTAAGCAATCTCGTTAAATCAAAAACATTCAAAATGTTTAATCCATTCTAATACCAAATGGCCAGGCGAAAGACAATATTATAACCCGGATCACGGCAGTTAAAAAATATGTTGGCGAAACTTTCATGGAGCCGTCGTAAAATCACCATAAAAACGAAAATCTGCATCTATATAGCTGTGATTCGTTCGGTCTTGCTATATAGTTCTGAGACATGACCAATGAGAGTGGAAGATATTAAGAAGTTATCTGTTTTTGACCACTCTTGTCTAAGGTGCGTTTTACAAGAATCGAAGAATATTCTTTCTCCACTCTCTCTTCTTTTTGTTAAAAATTAGAATTATTCATCGATTATCTCTGAAAAAATGAAAAAAAATTTTTTTTTGCAATAAAATTGTGGCTTAAATCGTTAATACACCATTTCTCCAGTGCATATTTTTTGCAAATGCAAACAGAATTATGTTTCATCGAAGAAAATACTTTCCACTGTAAAATATTTATTGCTGATCAGTAGTTTCAGTGGAAAATTCAGTGGAAAATTTCAGTGTATTTTCCAAACTGATATTTATGGGATTTTAACAGAAAATACAACAAATAAAACTGGGCGAACCAATAAAGTTTTTGAAAAAAGTTTATTGCGGCGACATTTTAACATCTAATTTCACTTTGATTTTGTTAATTTCACATATGAAAATAATTTTACAAAAAGCCAACTCGAAATATTTCAAAGTTTCCAGAGTACCGTTGAATTATTATTAATAATAAATAATATTAGTACTATTCATTTGAAATTTCATTATGGAAGATTTTATTTTTTCGCATTGTGTTTAGGCAAATTTCGACAAAAATTTGTACGATACTTTATTTGCGAATTTCTATTTGATTACAGTAAATTAAAGGAGAATTGATTGTCATGGCTTCAAAATTTTTGTTTTATTTACTTTAAATGGTGCTTTAGAGGACGAAAGTATTGTCGCATATAAATTTATGAAATGCTATCACTCGCTGCCGCTATCACTCACTGTTGATCGCCATGCTTTTCAAGTGGTTTATTCTCCTTTATTCAAATTTGGTTATTTTTTGGATGAAGTAATTACAACTTGTTTCGTGGAAGTTGCCATACATGACGAAAACAAAAAGCGTCCAAATGTGGGTCCAAATTATTGTTTAGATATGAGCCCAGATACATGCGGAGCCTTATTCAACAAACTGAGAGATACTTATGTCACCAATCTCAATCCGTATGCATTTTTCGATCTCATATAAATCGAGAAGGAAAAAAATTTCACTATGTTTTTCTCATTAAGAGCAATTTTCGAATATTTATGCTATTTTATTACAGCAATCCAAATGCGATTTTTTTCGTAATTTTATCTAAGAATTTTTAGATTGAACAATAAACATACATTTTTATATTGAACATTTTTTTGAGAAATATTTTTTAGAAAATAAATAAGTCGATTTTTCTTCAGCGATGAAAATTACAAAGTGAGCCAAAATTGCAATGCACCGCAATATGAAACACTGAGAGTAACTCAGTGTGCAAGCTCGTGTGCAAAGTACTGCTTAACAAAATAATTCAATTGCAAAAACGGTTATTTAAATTTAAATGATAGCATAGCTAATTTTTTCTTAATTTTACATAAAATTTTACTGGGTTTAAATTTAATTTTGCCAAATTGCCTATAATTTAAAAAATTGATGCAAAATTCACATCTTTATTAGACATCTACCTTTTCACTATTTGTTCATAATTACATTGTTACTTATTTAAAATATTGATATTAATTAATCTTTCGAAAGCTTAAATTATTTCAATGTTTATACATTGTTTAAACATGTTTACATGTTAAATTATACATGTTTTAATGTTACTCACATATTTAATGTTCGAATAGGATAAACAAGAAAATAGTAGGTTTTTCACCGAAAGTTGTGATGAACTTTTTTTAATAATGTTCAATAATATTTGAATAATTCAGATGCAGCAAGCAGTGAGGCATGTCAACAATTGAATTTCGCGAGGGAGTGCAAAAATCCCAC